CAGAGAACTGGACACAAAGGTGTGCGGTCACTCTACACCTGATGAGTGGTCATCCAGAGAACTGGACACAAAGGTGTGCGGTCACTCTACACCTGCTGAGTGGTCATCCAGAGAACTGGACACAAAGATGTATGGTCACTCTCCATGGTTGCTAAGCAGTCATCCAGAGAACTGGATCAAAGGTGTGTGGTCACTCTCCATGCCTGCTGAGCGGTCATCCAGAGAACTGGATCAAAGGTGCATGGTCACTCTCTACACTTCCTGAGTGTCCATTTCAGACACTCAGCAGAGGAATGGATGCCAAAGTTCCTGGATATTTTCCACAGCTGCCAAGCCACTGTCCCAGAGCACAGGATGGGCTCACAGAGGATGTGTCCATGCATAGTGCAGCACTTTATACCTCTTCACAACACCCAGGCCCGGAGAGCTGGAGAGGTGCCAGAGGGTCTGGGTAAAGGAGCATGCGGATAAACAGAGGAAACGGAAAGTCCTCAGCATGGATGACTTACGTAAGGGCCAGATTAAAAGCATGGCTTAAAATGAGGTATTGAAATGTGCATGTTCCCATTATAGGTAAGGAATATTCAGATTTTAGGAATGAATCCCTCTATGGTCTATGTGTCTGACCTATGAGACCACATATCCAGATAAGGAATTAAGTTGCTGCAGTATACACGCACACACATACACACATGTACCCATATCTGTATGTATATGTATGCACACACAAGCCAGCCGTTTCGATGAGATAAACTTGTATTCAATTACACTGTAAAATAAAACAGTTAACATTTCCTAAAACTATATTTTCATTCTAAAAAACTGAAGTTTTAAACATTCCTCCTAAGAGGAAGTAAAGATGCAGCTCTGACGGTTGTGAGTGAAGAGGCCCTGAGTTCAACCCTTGGTGCTGACACTAAACAAAACAAACAAACAAACAGATATTCCTACGGAGTACTGAGTGCAAATAAAAATCACATCCCAACCATTATCCTCTGTGTCATGAGACTCGTGCTTTAATGTGAACTTTTTGAGTGATCACCTAAGCCTTGAATTTTATGTTCCTATAAGAAAGACATCTTTAAGTCCCCACTCTGCTCACAAATCACGTGATTTTGGTTCGGACAGCAGGATGACATCCACAGGAAGCTTTCCATGATAAAATAACCAAGGTCTTCATCTGCTGCTCTAACAAAATGCCTTAGCCCGGGTAGTTTATAGAGAGCATGAATTTACTGCTCACAGTTACGGAGGCCAGAGGTCCAAGATCAAGATGCCAGAAGGTTCTGTCTGGTCACTGCCTGTCCCTGTTTCCAGGATGAATGCTTTGTTCTTCCTTGGTAGAAGATATGAGGAGGAGCCTTCCACACCGGGTTGTCTAACAGAGGCCTGCCTCCTAACAGCATCGCCTCGTGAGCAGGGTTCAGCACAAGAAGGGAGCGGGGCGTACATCCAAAGCTCAGCACCTCACCATACACAAGAGACAACCACAACATCCGTGGGCATTAAGCTAACCTGAAACACTCTAAACTTCCGATTAAGAGATACTGAGAGGAGCCACAGAGGAAAAACACACCAGCCACCACCTCTGTCACATCTGTGCCCCCAGGACAGCTGCCGCATCCCAGACTGGACACAGGCTTCCCTAGACATCCGTGGCGCACCCAGGAGGGGCAGCGCGGGCCCCTGCCACCCTCCTCGGGGAGGGTGCAGACCCCGCTGCCACAGAAACTGGCAAGGCACTTGCCAATCAGACCCTGCAGGCCCCAACATCTGACTTTATTATTTGGCATGAAGACATAAGCATGACCCAGCCCATCAACGATGCTGCACCTTGGAGTTCCATAGACTCACCCAGTTCACACAACCTAAGCTTTTGAGGCTGCTTTTATATACACTGCATGTGCGTGGCTGCCCACCCCAGCACCACAGGAAGCCAGGGCCACCCGAAGGTCAGACCCTGCCCTCCGAGTGTCTACCCATTAGCCTGCCCCAGTGGCCTGCCCTGTGCCGGGAGCGGAACTCTTGCTCTGACTGCTCAGTGCTGCCAGGCCACGTAAGGCCTTAGCAGTAGGCGCTGGACAGCAGACACATCACGTAGAGCTCCAGGCCTCCTGTGCTCACAGGCGAAGTCTGCACCGATGACCTGGGAGCATGGCACTGGGGGTTCAGAGTCATGGTGTCCTGGGATCTAAGACCAGGTGTGTCAGCACGGCTGAGAGAGAGAGAGAGGCCTTTCCCGTCAGCGCTTCTCTACGGGTTGATTTGTGTGTTGCTTTTATTAAAGTTAGAAAGCAACAGAATTTATTTCCTGCTCAAGGAACTGCCTTGCAACGAGAAGGAATTGAATCCATACTTCAAACACTTCGTGTGAATGAATTCTGAAACCCCTGCCTGCTCTGCCTGGAAGTCTGAACCAAACAGGTGTCTGAGTCCAAAGCAGCATCTGCAGGAGGCTGAAGGGCCTGGCCGGCTCTGCTCTCGGTCAGGGCCAGCGGCAGGGCTCACACAGAATGCACAGACACGCTCCGGGGCTGACAAGCCTGGCAGCGTTCAAAATGGGTCGAGAAAAGATAATTCAGTTATCTGCAAGGTGCTGCAGCTCCCACAGGCCGGCCGTCGCTCTCCTATCCCTCTCCTTAGTTTTTGTAACACCTAACAACAGGGCCTTACTGACCATCCTCTTAAAGTCCCCTCCAGAGTGCCCTTTAGCTGAGTGCAGCTGGCTCGCGCCTGTAACCCTAGCTCTTCAGAGGTGGAGATAGGAGGATCACGGTTCAAAGCCAGCTCAGGCAGTCTGTGAGACTCGTATCTCCCGTTAACCCCTGAAAAGCCAGAAGTGAAGGTGTGCTCAAATGGGAGAGTGCCAGCCTTGAGTGCAAGAGCTCAGGGCCCCGAGTTCAAGCCCCAGGACTGGCATGCGCATGTGCACACACATATGCACAAATGCCCTTTCTATCTTTGGGCCCCTCAGGCTCAGGGCCCCTCCCTGAGCGCCTCTGTTGCCTTTCGCAGGCCCGGGGGGAGCCTCCCTCTTCTATGGTACACATATCCTTACTGTCATGCTGCCAGGAATGTCTGAGAGGACTCGGCACACACAGAAGCACCACAGGTCCGGCTCAGAGGCCGAGGCACCAGTCCCAGGTCTCATGCACCCCATGTGGCATCTTACTAACTCTGGAAGGAAGAGTGGGACCTGCAGGCTTTGTACACTGGAGGACTGGGCATGTCAGTGTGGGGTTTGGCTTCTCCACACACGTCACCTTTCCAGGGCAGCTCGGAAGGTCTGTTTTGATTCCTTGGGTGCACAGAGCACTGCGCCCTGGCTGCAGCCGGTCAGTGCCACTGCCCACTCACTGTGGCACTGACTAGCGGGAGGGACTGCAGAGCCCTCTGCAGGCACGGGAGGGAAGCCCTGGACTGCAGCAACAAAAACAATTTTGACATCAGGCCAAGTCCTCAACACAAGCAGAGTTAGTGCTAAGAGGCTGAAAGGTTATTCAAGGTTATATGGGTACAACACAGGTGAGGGACACTGAGAAAACCGATTAATATTATTGTGTAATATTAATATTGGTAGCAATTAACAGCAGCATGCAAGTAGATACACAATAGTAAGAGAAGGACGGGAGACAGAGTGAAAACTCACATCCGGGTGAGGGATGGCGTACTGTCCCTGGATCGTGTAGGCCTGGAGAGAAAGAGAGAGAGAGACCTTCAGCTCACAGCACAGGGGCCGTGGGGCTTGCCGCCGCCCGAGGTCCTTCCCTGGGTGACAGCTCTCCCTACAGGCACATCTCCACCGTCTCTGTGGCAAACCCTCCCCCTGGTGGCAGCCAGGGGAGCCACAGAAAGCCCCGTGGCCAATCTCCAGACACCCCAAAACTTCTCTAGAAGGAAACAACTTAAGGAGGACCTGTTCAACCATCCATAAGAGGTCTACTGGTCATTAAATACTATACTGGAGACATCCGAAAAGATACCGAAAGCAGCTTTGCCAAAAACGGGTTAAGCAATGGACCTCATGAATCACAGGAAGACCCAATCTGCCATCTTCCGGATCGAATCTTCAGTCCCAATGGGGTCTCTGAGGTGCTTTTGGTTTCATGAGTCCCCTGTGTCAGATCTGCAACTGACTCATGGCCAGCACACTCCTGAGCCCGGCTTCTCTGCGAAGCCCCGCCGGGTGGGCGGCGACACAGTGACCCCGGCTTCTCTGCGAAGCCCCGCCGGGTGGGCGGTGACACAGTGACCCCGGCTTCTCTGCGAAGCCCCGTGGGTGGTGGTGACCCTGGTGACCCCGGCTTCTCTGCGAAGCCCCGTGGGTGGTGACCCATGACCCCGGCTTCTCTGCCAAGCCCCGTGGGTGGCGGTGACCCTGGTGACCCCGGCTTCTCTGCCAAGCCCCCATAGGTGGCGGTGACCCCCACAGGTCTCTTCTATAACACACCTCCAGTGACTCAAACAATCAACCAACCACATGGAGTCAAGGGAGAGCAAGGCCTCTCAGGATGGGTGAAGCGCAGGCGTGACATGTGATGCCCGTGGGCTCTGTGACGGATGCCTCAGGTGTCCATCAGCAATAACCCAACCGAGAGTTCAAGGCCTACCGACTGCCCAACAGGGGACCCAGCCACGGCCCAGCCCTGAACCGATGCAGTTGTGGCAAGGGAGGACCCGCGATACGACAGAGGAGCTGAAAGAATCTCATCAGATCACCAGTCGGGCAGTCTGGCAGACCTGCCAGGAGCAGGTCTGGAGGCCACATGCTGTGATGCTGCTCCCCGTCAGGCCTGCAGCAGCAACGCTAGCAGTCTGCTGCCCTCCTGCCCTGTGGTCTATGTGGAATTTCACGAGCTCGGGTCGGGGATGCTGCTCTGGGGCCACTGTTTGGACAGTTCATTTCTGCCTCAGACTGTACATCTCCATGGCGCTGGAGCCTGCCCTGGGGCCACCAGATCCAGGAGGGAGCTGAGCACCTGCAGCACCCACGCCTGATTTGCCCACACCCTGCACTGGACACACATGGGGGTCCTCAGGGGTCTGTCCACACCATGCACTGGACACATGGGGATCCTCAGGGGTCTGTCCACACCCTGCACTGGACACATGGGGGTCCATCCACACCCTGCACTGGACACACGGGGGTCCTCAGGGGTCTGTCCATGCGGGGGTCCTCAGGGGACCTAGAGACCTGCCCTCTCAGGACTGATCCACACCCCCACCCCACAGATTTGCTTGGTGCCTCTCCTGGTTGGCTGGGGGGGGGGAAGGGACCTGTATCTAAGGCCTGGCCAAGGACAGCAGATCAGGCTGCCCTGAGGCATGGCAGTAAGCCCCGGAGGCTCATAGTGTGGGTGGTGTTTAGGGACAAACACCGTGTCACAGTGACTGTGTGCAGGCGACGGGCTGAGCGGCCTCAGCCTCGGCACCCACGCTGGCTCTGCCCTGAACTGGAGCTGCACTGTTCCGGACCAGGGTTCCTTCCCTGTGAGGGTCGCTGCCTGCCAGAGCCACGGCTGGGCAGGGGTGAGGGCTTGCAGACAGTCCCGGTGGCTCCCTGCGGGGTGCAGGTAGGGGCAGCTGTACCCCAGCACACGAGCCTGGCAAGACGCTCGTGCGCTGGGCCTCGTTTTCTGACTGTGAGATAGAATATGCCGTGTGCTGGTCTGTGTGGGGGCTGCGCACAGGCTGCCAGGTGCCCCACAGACCTGACAAGATTCTTTACATTGTGAGTCAAGTCCCCATGCCTTTCGTTCCCTTTTAGGGTTAAAACCTCATGCCTGACCTGCCGTGGCTGGGTCACCTGTGGGTAGCCTCTGACTCAACGCTCCCTTGAACAAAGACACACCGCGGCCGGCCAGACACAGGGCCCTTCTGGGCCGTCCCCTGGCTAACCATGTTCGAGTCATTGCATGGGTGGGCTGACGGTGGGCTGGGTGGTGACGGAGGCGGGTGAGCAAGCTGGGCCCCTTCCTCTTCCCTGACAGCCCACGGGGGCCATCATGCCACTGGGACTGCTCCCTGCCCAGCTGCCTCAGGGCTCTGGGACGACCCTCGGAGGCCTGGTGGGAGCCTCCCAGGGCCTGTGGATGTTCGGGTCCTTCCTGTCTGGGTCAGGGGTCTCTCTTTGGAGAGGTGTCTGAGGGGCATGGCTCTGAGGTGAAGCTGTGCCCCAGCCTGGTGTGGGCCAGGAGAGCCCTGTGTCTGGCTCAGGGAGGGAGCGTGCAGTGGGAAGGCGAGAAAACCTGAGTGCACTAACGGGCAGCGGCGGGTGCTGCAGTAAGAGGCTGAGGTTGGCAGTGGAGGCCGCGAGCGGGTCGGCTCTTACCTGACCACCTGCAAAAATGACAGGGGTGGAGGCGGGCTTTGGGCGGTAGGGAATGGTGGCACCTTTCGGTGGGGACTAGGAGAAGGGACAGGAGAGGGAGAGAGACATTAGAGAAGCCTGCTGCTGGGCCTCGGGCCGCCTTCCCGCGTCCGCCCTTCTGCGCAGACCCTCCCAGCCCCAGACGTGGCCAGCGAGGCCGCAGCAGCGCGGCAAGGGCAGCGGGCTCAGCTGGCCTTCGGAGCAGGTGGCCAGCAGGCGGCACCCTGCATCGCGCCGCCCATTTCTTCTGTACAGGCGGCTTCTCTCACGTCTGTGCTGTGTGCCTCCTGCCTTCAACAAGCTCCCCCCACAGCCGGGCTGTGAGCGGCAGCAGCCCTTCGGCAGTGTGGCGCGTGTCTCTCCGCCAGCTGGGCCGAGCCACCTACTGTGGGGCTCTGGCCAGGGGCAGATGGGCTCTCGTGTTGCTGCCCCTCCCTCCCTCCCAGAGCTGCCCCCAGATGGCCCATGAGCACTACAATGAGCACAGCAGTGGCTTCTAGATAGGCGTGCAGACCACATCCTCACAAGAGTGCTCCTGAATCTGAGCCGTGTGCATAACCAGCCTCAGGAACTGATATACAGCACTCCGAAGACTCTGGTTGGCCTGTGGTGATGATGAGTAGAGACTGCCATCGAAGTGAACAGAAATCCAACCTCACCACGAAACAGAGTCATCAAGAAAACTGCAGAGAAGTGAGAAGTTCCCCAGTCACAAAGAGGTCTGTTACAACTCTCCTTGATGGTTCTGTTACCTCAGGCGGGGGCTGTCCTCGGCACTTCCTGCAGGCCCTCTCTGCCTCCCGGGCCGGCTGGGGTCTTGGGGCCTCGGCTGGGCGGCAGGGCACAGTCCGTCCCCGCCAGGGCTCCTGCAGAGCCTGCGGCCTCTGGACTCACTGCAGGATGTCCAAGCTCCTCGCACTGGAAACCCACAGAGCAGGCGGCAGCACAGTCCTCTCTGCTGCGTGAACGGCCAAGGGGTGGGGTGATTCTGAGAGGTCCCCAGGGAAGGCCCACCCCATACATTTCTGAGGTCCTTATGGAATGCTTCTAATTACCCTGTGAAAATGGGGCTTCCCAAGACCCCGCCCTGCAGGCCCTTCCAGACCCCTGGCCATCACCCTGTTCCACGGGGCTCTCGGAGGCCAGCCTTCATCCCAGAAGCTCCTCGGTACTTGCCCTGAGGCCCAGCTGGCTGTGAGTGAGCCCCGACCCCGTTCTTACCCAGGGAGGGCACATCCTCTGGACACAGGCAGTGTTCCCTGGGAGGGGGCAGACACATTGGATGTGTCTCACCAGGTGCGGGAAGTGCTGGTGCGGTACGCAGCCCTTGAGGGCCACACCACCAAGTTCACCTATTGCCAGGCATCTGGTCCTCTGGTCCTACGAGGCCTCCCCTCTGGGAGAGACTTCAAACCATCTCTGGACTGATCTCCAGCTCCTCTTCATGGACAGTATCCCTGGCCATTTCTTCTGTTGAGGCTCACCCCTTCCTTCTGGCCAGTGATCTGATCTGAATCACGGGAGCAGGCAAGGGGGTCTCTGCCAGCCAGCACCATTGCCGACATCCGTGTGTGTGTGTGCATGTGCGTGCGTGTGTGTGTGTATGAGCCTGTGTGTGGTACATTCAGAGGGGCAGTCCCAGCATGGATCCATACCCCAGGGGCCCTGCCTGCAGGGTGGCATCAGGAGCTTTGGAGAAGGGCACAGTACTGGTGCTCATGTGAGGCAGATCACATCAGGAGCTTTGGAGAAGGGCACTATCGGTGCTCGTGTG